CCATCCCCAATCCGTAGCTAAGTCAAACTCCTAAGGACAGTCTGTCTGGTAGATGTTGAGAGAGGAACCGCACGCCCAGAGCGCCAGCCCCAGGGCTGGGGCGGGCTGGGCCGGGCGGGCTCCAAGGCCTGCGCCGGGTCTCCCCAGGGCAGACGTTTATCACCAGGTACCTTACCCAGAACGAGTGGGGTGATCCCAGATGCTTGCTCCCTAGTGGACTGAGCCACCCTGCCCATCAGTGAGGGACAGGGCACTTTGGGGATGGCTGGTGTGGAGCTACTGGGCCTGGGGGCGAGAACTCCCGAGGCCGCCAGCCTGTGGGGCCGTGGCCGCAGACAGCCCTGCATGGTGGCTGTTCTCCGCAGACCTGCCACCCGGGCAAAGACCCTCTAGGTGGCTTCTGCTGCATGAGTGTGAGCCCAGGGTGGGCGGGCACGGCTGGGCTGAGTGCCCTTGCCCGCTGGGTGCTGTGCCCTGGTGCTACGGCTTACAGCTCCGTGGCGGCGGGGGGGCAGATGCCAGGGGGAGCTCAAGGCCTGTGGGCCTGCCTGCTTCAGGCCCCGGCTCCCCTGGCCCCCAAAAATGGAGCAGGAAGGTGAGCCTGATGTCACCTGTCAGCCCTAAAGAAGAGATAAAATCCAGCTCTGCGGCAGGCAGGCAGGCAGGCGCAGTGACGAGGGGCCTTGGCCCTCACAGTGACGACCAGAGGCCGGGGAAGGGGCGAGGCTACCCAGGGTGGCAGGCGCCGGGAGCCGTCGGGGACGGCCTCAATCCGGGGAGTTCCCACTCCCTGGCGACTGAAGACCCCCGGACCCCGACTGGCCTGGCAGACACGCACACTCACCACAAGTTGCAAAGACCACAAAGCTCAAACCTGGGGCCGTGGTTGGGGGCGGGGCGCGGGGGGCGGGGATAGGCAGGCCTGGGCGGGTGCCCTACTTGATGAGGGTTTTTAAGGAGCGGGTGAATGTGCTCATAACAGTCGCTGGAGTCGGGGAGCCCGGGGGGTGCCCTGAGGCCGCCCCGACAGCTGCCGCGGCGGCCGGCTGCTGCTGTTGCTGGTTAAGGTTCCGGGTGGTGGACTCCTCAGCGGCGCGCAGTAGGAAGGTGTAGTTCCTCACCACCTCTTCGACCTTGGCCAGCAGCTCTTGGCGCTGGGCCTCAGAGCGCACGATGAACACCAGCCGCACAAAGGTCTCGATGAGGCTGCTCAGCACCTGGAAGCTGCCCGTGATGGCCGCCAGCATGTGAGTCGGGCTCTTGTCCACGTTGGCCACGCGGCGGCAAGAAGCCCGGAGCTCCTTGAACTTGAGAGCCAGCTCGAGCTTATACTCGGAGATCTGAGAGACATAGGGCTTCGGGGCGCGGGCCTCGGGGCTGGCCACGCACTGGCGCAGGACCGTCAGCAGCTCATTGGTGTCCAGCCTGGCAGCCAGGAACCCGTCGGGCAGGCCGTAGGCGTGGGCCCGCAGGGCATTGATCTTGGCCAGGCTCCCCTCGAAGGTGGATGCCCGCAGGTCGATCTCCTGGGTGCGGGAGGCCTCGGGGCTGCTGCCGCTGCAGGTGGCGGCATCCAGCACCTGCAGGGTTCTGCTCACCACGGGCACCACCTGCTCGTCCAGCTTCATGCCGGGCAGAATCTTCATGGGGATGGAGTAGGAGAGCTCGTCCTTGCCGTCGCTGGCGTCATCCGCCATGTCGCACTTGCGGTAGTAGAAGCAGTAGCGGATGGAGCAGCATCTACCACTCTCACTGTCCTCGTCCAGATCAGCGGGCTTCCGGTACACCTCTTCTGGCAGCGAGAACACTGCCATCTGTCTGGGGCCTTTGGTCTCAGGAGCAACCTGGACGTATGAGGGGTCTCCCAGGGTTGGCGACTCCAGGGACTTGGTTTTGGGACCCAAGCCTAGGGGGAGGCCTGCCTCTACCTCCTTGGCCTCCCTGGGCAGCATGCCCAGGGGTGGGTGTGGGTAGATGTCTGAGGTCAGCGAGGCCCTGTCACCCTGGTCCAGTTCACTGATACTGTAGCGGCGCATCAGCTTTCGGTAGTTGGGAGCTCCGAGACACTCCCCCGCTGAGGCACACGTGGTCAGGCAGGAAACGCCGCTCTCGGGGTCCGATCGGCACTCCCGGGATTCCAGGCTGGTGGAGCGGAGGCGCCCTACGTTGGTGGGGCTGCTGAGGCTCAGGCCTGCGCCGGCCTCCGGCTGCCTCTGGGTCGGGGGGACCCTGTCCCTCTCCTGGCCCCGGAGGCCGGGCACGGGCGTCTGGGGGGCCTGAGGGCGGCCCCCCCGGCAGATGCGCTTGCAGTCACAGCTGCGCCTCTGCTCCCGGGACATGCCCGGCCCCTGCTGCACCGGGCTGCTACGAAGCTGGCAGCTGCAGCGGCCCGGCGCGGGGGGCTGCAGGTACTCGGTACCCGGCAGCTCCCCCTGGCTGGGGGGCTTCAGAAGTTCCTCGAGGAACTCTAGCTCATACTGCTTTACCTTCTGCAGCTGGGCCTGCCGCTCATCGGTCTCCTTCTTCTGGCGGGTCGGGAAGGTGGCAGAGAATAAATTGCGTAGCCGGAAGGGCCCTCGGGAGGATTTGGGCTTCGCGGGGCCTTCAGAGGCCGAGTGCGCTCCATCCAGGGTTGTCTCAAGCTTCCTGGAGGGCATGGTGCTCACCTGCCGGCTGGCAGCCTGGGGCCTCAGCGGGCTCTGGCCTCGCGGCTGGCAGCTGGGGCTCTGTAGAGCCATGGAGTAGCTGGCTCGGGGCACCAGGCTGGTCTCCTCGATCTTGCTGCTCTGGGGCATGCTCTCCAGCTGCCCCTTCTCCCCCTGGCTGGAGACGGCGCCCTGCTTGTGCAGGGCAGGCTTAGCCCCCTCTGGCCCGGCCTTGCCTGCCACCTCCCCCATAGACGGCTTGCTCAGGGACTCTCGACTCGCTCGTGCAAGATAGGTTTTAGGAGGGAAACTTGGCCCAGGCAGCCGGTCCTCTTGTGGGGAGAGGTGCAGGCTGTCGGCCCGGCTGCCTGTGGGCGCTCTGGAGCCAGAGGAGTCCTCTGGGCTTAGCGGCTGCTGGGAATTCCGGGAGGTCTCTGGAGCACCGGGGCTCATTTTGAACTTCAGATTCTTACTGGCACTGCCGCTCATCATGCTAACTTCTGATCTTCCCATGCTGACCTCAGGCCTCCCCATGCTGGCCTCCAGCCTTCTCTCCCCACTGCTGGGAGGGTTCACTATGGCCCCGCTAGGGGCAGGTAGGCTCTTAGGGTGAACCACCTGCTGGAGGGCGGCCGAGATGATCGCTGGGGTCACACTGCCCTTCGGGTCCAGGATAAGCTTGGGGCTCAACCTGACTTCTTTGGGCAGGTTCTCCCTTAGCTCAGAGACCTGGTCTTCACTGAGGGATGGTGTGGCTGCCCTCAGTGACATCTCCAGGCCTGCCCTCGTGTGGCCAGGCCCTTTGTCCTCAGGAACTGGGGACAGCAGGCTCAGATTCTTCTGCTCACTAAGCTGTGGGGACAATGCTGGGTGCACGGCCAGGGCGTATGCTCGCTCTCGCTGTGGTGGCTGGGATTCTGACGGGGGCAGCTTCCTCCGAGCGCCAGGCGGGCCAGGACTCTGGCCTGTGACAGCTGGCTGCAGGGCCGGGTTGGGATCTGGGCGCCCAAGAGAGTAAGGGGCCGTGAGCACAGCCTGGGCCGCGCAGCTCTGGATCCGGAAGGGCAGGTCCTTGCGAGCCAGGAGGCTCTCCTTGTTGAGGTGCTGGGCCAGGAAGTAGGTGGTGTTCTGGTGCTGCTTCATGGCAGACATCATCTCTGACATGTCTGTGAGCTCCGAAGAGTTGGTTTCGTGGCCTGAGTCCAGCGATGATTCAGGGGTGATTGTGGCCAGCACAATCAGACCTGGAGGGACAGGGAGAGGGGCTTGCTGCACTTACTCCAATCAAGTCCTTTCGCCAGCCATATGTAGAAAGTTTATGGGGGCGGGGGGCAAGGGCAGCCAGCAGTATTGGAAGCCAGGGAGAAAGGCCAGTCGGTCAGTCCTGGGACTGGCCAGGAGGAGGGGGCAGGCAGGGGGGAGGTAATGGGGCTGAAGGTGAGAGGAGGGAGGGGAGGAGCGGAGGGAGGCAAGCTGGCAGAGGGCTCCTGAAGGGCGGGAATCCGAAAAAGAAACAAAAGAGGCGCGGAGGAGATCTACTGGGCAGTTTGAAGGCAAATTAACATGCATAGCGCATGCAGAACGACATGCTAATCGTCACTATTTTTAGACTCAATAGCGAGGAAATGTTTGTCAATTGTCCTGAAGAGGCCTGGCAGAGAGAGGCCCCTCTCTATCTGGCTGGGCCTGCCTACCGCTGAGGCCCTTGTGCCTGAGCTTGTCCTCTCTCTGGCGACCACGGGGCGGGTGGGGGGGGCTCTCACTAGCCAGGGAGCGGCTAGTGCTGGGCGCTCCAGACTCTGAGCAAAGAGAAATGCTGGCCCCAGGGGGCTAAACACATGCGGGTTGCCCACCACCAAGGATGCCCTTGCGTACAGAAAAGGGAGGGGCTGGGACTCTCCCTGGTCAGCCAGGCTGCCTCTGACCCCAAGCTTTTCCTCTTCTCTGTCCACATGTCCCTCCTGCCTCACACGCTTTCTCAGACACCTTCTTCCCGTTCCTTTTCTGTTACCATAGCGTTTACCTGTTCTTTTTAAGGTGTATGTGTATGGAGGTATGTGTCGTGAATAGGGGTGCAGGCTGACACGCGTGCTTGGCTACACGATGGGTGTATGTGTGTCTGTAACGGGGAACAGCATGCGCGTCGTATGGCTGTCCCACCAAATAATAACTACTACCAGCTACTACTTACGATCAATACGAATAGCTTTACTCCTGACTATGTGCTAGGCAGTGCTTTGCACGAATGATCTCGTTTTGTGCTCACAGCAAGCCTCCATGATATGACTACTGTTGTCAGACCCACTTGAAAATGACAAAAGTGAGGCTCAGAGAGGGTTAAGTGCCTTGCCGAAGGTCACACTGCAAGTGAGTGAAGAAGCCAGGATTTGGGTGCATCTGACTGGGAGCCCATGCTCTCAGGCAAGGTAAGGACCTCAGCCCTGAGCAGTGATGGCTCCTGGCTCCCCTGATCCCAGGTCACTAGGTGGTTAGTTGGTTGTTTTGTTTTTTTCTTCCAGTCATGTGCATGCTGGAGGTTCTTTGCCTGTCTTCTAGATCTCTCACAATTTTGCTCTGATCCTCCATCCTGGCCTGGCTCCGTGGCTGTTCATGGCCCCAGTCCCTGGGGTCCACCTGCAAGACATTTCCAGAGATGGAATGGTGAGAGCCAGGGCTGGAGCTGCAGCTGAGCAGCCGGGCCCTGATGCAGCGTTGTTGATCCCCTGACCCTATCTGAGCTACCTCTGGCCATCCACTGCCCTGGCACACCACGGTGACTTTGACCTCTGCTCGGGAAGAAGCAATATCACCCCCTGGCCCTGCCTGGCCAGGAGAAGGAAGGGGAGGCAAGAAGGAGGAGGAATGGGCTGTTACCTGCAGTCTGTGGGGGTGGGGGGTGCGGTCCATCCTCTGAGGCTGCCAGGGCTTCCAGAGCCTGCAGAGTGGACACCAGGGCATCATCTAGCTCCTGGGCATGATCTCGGACTGTCCGGGGCTGCACGCTGTCGATCAGTGTCACTGGAATCTCATCATACAGGAGCCCACGCAGGTGGCGTCCTTGTTCGTGGCTCTGGGCCGCCCGGCGCTTGGGGTCATCCTCATCGGAACTGTTGTCTCGGAAACCGGGCGGGGGGGCGGCAATGGCAGGCAACAGCAAAGTGCTCTCATCTTCCTCCTCCTCCTCCTCTTCGCTCCCAGGCGGTGGCAGGGACATCAAGTCTACCATATTGTCACGAGAGGAGCCGGGCCTCCCACCTTTTCGAGGGCCCAGCTGCTCCTGGAGTTTGGCTTTGCAAGAGTCACAGTAGAAATTCAGGGCTTCGGCCCCAAGGGAATTGTCCAAGGTGTAGGACCGGGCCCTGCTGGCGCAAGGCTCATGGTCGAGGCTGGCTGCGTCAAAGTCATCGGGGATCACATCGTAACCTTGGCCAGAGCTTTTGGACGTGGGGTCAGACTTGGTCCGGGGCCTGGTCTCCTCAAAGAAGATTAAGTTCTCGTTGACGTCCGTCCGGCTTTCCTGTTCCTTCCTTTGTTCCCGCATGTGGAGGTAGCAAAAGCTGACAAGCTCAGAGTCGGCAGGCGGGGGCGTGCAGCGGCTCGACTTCCTGGGGCTGGTGCCCATGCTGCCCACATAACTACTCTCCTTTTTCCCCAGGTGGCCCCCAGGGACAGGGCGGTGGGCGCTGTGCATGTAATCTAAACCCAGAAAGAGAATCAACAGATGAGCCCTGGCGCCGAAGACCGTGGCTGAGCTCCCTTGGCGTTTCTGGTGTGCCACCAGATGGCAGGTACTGACAGAGAGCAATACCTGGCCACTAGAGGTTAGGGGAAGGGGCAGCTATGTTGCCGCCAACCCTTAAAGTTGAGTGAGGAGAACAGCCCCATGGGAAACCGCATGGGGTGATGGGGGAGGGGCTGAGCACCTTGGCATCTGGGTACAGCTGGGCTCTCCCCCAGGTATGTCTGGTCTGAAAGTCAGCTGTCCACATACTTCAAAAAAAAATGTGAAATTTGTTTTTATGTCCCCCTTGGAACTGGCCCTGCACCCCCTCCCCCATCCCCACCTTTCTCAGAGCCTTTCCAACCCCCAGTGCTCTGTTACTCTTGGGTTCTGTTGGATCTCTTCTAGCAAAAGGAAATAAATCTGACCAGTTACTCATGCCTTGGTGGGAAAATGCAGAACAGGCCACATACGGTGGGTGTCTGAAAATTTGCATTTCAAAGAGGACTGCCATGGACCGACCCTAGAAGAATAAAGCGCTACTAGTAGCATTCTGGGCATCTGAATGTGTGAAGTATATGGGAAGTAGGCTGGGATTTGCGTATGTGGGAGGAGGGTGGGGGGAGCATTCTTCCAATCCCTCACATCTCATTATTTCTCTGTGTTCGTGCAGGGCCAGCCTGCCTGCTACACAATGTTCTAGTCAACAGCTTTTTAATGATGGTAGGTGTGTACATCTGAGAATTAGCCATAGCAAATGAAGTGCTTTCTCTCTAAATGGCTTCTCTCTCGTAGACTGTTTTGGGGGCCCTTCCCCTTGTCATCTGGGAGAATATACTCAGACAAGACCAGTTCATTTTGCTAGCAGCAGACAGAGTGACAGACGGCAAGTAAGCACTAACGTAGGTTAAGGTCATCATACAGGATCCCATTTAATCCTCACCACAAGCCAGTGAGGTTGGTGCAGTCACTATCCCCATTTTGCAGAGGGAGAAACTGATCCATTCGGTTATGTGACTTATCCAAGGTCACATGAGTCATAAACGGCGGCCTGGATTTGATCCCAGGTTTGAGGGACTACAAAGCCCATGTTTTTAACGAGTACCCTATCGTTCATCATGGCAGTCAAGATGCTAGAAAACAAAACTTCAAAATGCCTTTCGATTTCCAGTTTCATGGGGTCAGTGTGTCAGTGTTGCTTTTCACTAGAGCTTCCAACCATCACAAAAGCATGGTGCTGGCACTTCACAACAGTGCCCCAAAATACACGAAGCAGAAACTGACTGAATCAAAAGGAGAAATACACACAATTCAAGGGCACTAATTGGACACTTCAATAACCTACTTTCAATAATGGATAGAACAACTAAACAGAAGATAAACAAGGAGATAAAGGACCTGAACAACTATAAACTAAGTAGACACTAAGTAGTCACAAAAGTCTATAGAACATGCCACCTACCAACAGCAGAATATACATTCTTCTCAAGGGCATCTGGAATGTTCTCTAAGATAGACGATATAGTAGGTCGTAAAATGAGCCTCAAAAAATTTAAAAGAAATGAAATCATACCAAATATGTGTTTTTTTTTGAGCACAATGGAATTAGAAATCAATAAACAGAAAGAAATTTGGGGAACTCACAAGTATGTGGAAATTAAATCAAACATCTCTAAATAACCAATGGTTCAGAGAAGAAATCACAAGGGAAATTAGAAAATATTTTGAGATGAATGAAAATGAAGATACAATATACACAAACTTACGGGGTCTAGCTAAATTAGTGTTTAGAGACAAATTTATAGCTATAAACACATACATTAAAAAGGAAGAGATTTCACGTCAATAACCTAACCTTCCACCTTAAGAGACTTGAAAAAGAGGACCAAACTAAACCCAAAGCAAGCAGAAGAGAAGAAATAGTAAAGTATAGAGGACAGAAAAACAATAGAAAATCAATGAAACTAAAAGTTGGTTCTTTTTTTTTTTTTTGAGAGAGAGAAAGAGCGCACATGTGCCTGTGAGTGGGGGGAGGGGCAGAGGGAGAGGGAGATGGAGAGAGAAAATTGCAAGGAGGCTCCATGCTCAGTGTGGAGCCTGGTGCGGGGCTCAATCTCACGACTCTGAGATCACGACCTGAGCTCAAATCAAGAGTTGGATGCTCAACTAACTGAGCCACCCAGGTGCCCCAAAAGTTGGTTATTTGAAAAGATCAATAAAATTGACAAACATATAGCTGTAGCGACCAAGCAAAAAAAAAAAAAATTAAAAAAAAGATTCAAATTTCTAAAATCAGGAATGAAAGAAGGACCATCACTACTGACTCTACAGATATGGACCTGATTATAAGGGATTATTATAAATAAGCTTATGCTAAAAAACACTAGATAACCTTGATGAAATGGACAAATACCTAGAAATATATGATCAAAACTGACTCAAGAAGATAGAAAACCTGAATAGGCCGATAGCAAGAAAGAAACTGAATTAGTAATTAACAGTACCCACCCCGCCCCCACTAAAAATAAAACTCAGGCCCAAATGGCTTCACTGGTGAATTGTGCCAAATGCTCAAAGCACTTAAACAAATCCTTCACAAACCCTTCCAAAAAACAGAAGAGGAGGGAACACTTCACAACTCATTCTATAAGGTCAGTATTACCCTGGCTCCAAAACCAGACAAAACATCACAAGAAAACTACAGAGCAATATTTCTTATAAAAATAGATACAAAGTTCCTCAACAAAATACTAGCAATCTGAATCCAGGAACATATAAAAAGTATTATACACCAAATGGGATTTATTACACGAACGCAAGGTTGGTTTAACATCCAAAAATCAATTAATGTAATACACCATGTTAATAGAATGGTGGACAAGAAAACCACATGATCATCTCAATAGACTCGGAAAAATAATTTGGCAAAAGCCACCACCCTTTCAGGATAAAACTCAAAAAGTTAGAAATAAAAGGGAACTTTCTGAATATGATAAAGATTATCTATGAAAAACCCATAACAAACATACCTGATGGTGAAAGACTGAAAACTTTCCTCCTAACGTCATGAAAAAGCCCAGGATTTCTTTTCTTTTTTTTTTTTTAGAATTTCTTTTTTTTTTTTAAGATTTATTTATTTATTTGAAAGGGAGAGAATGAGAGAGAGAGAGAGAGAAAGAGAGAGCACATGAGAGGGGGGAGGGTCAGAGGGAGAAGCAGACTCCCTGCTGAGCAGAGAGCCTGATGCGGGACTCGATCCCAGGACTCCAGGATCATGACCTGAGCCGAAGGCAGTCGCTTAACCAACTGAGCCACCCAGGCGCCCCAGCCCAGGATTTCTTTTCTTAACACTTCTATTCAACACCGTACTAGAAGGTCTAACCAGGACAATTAGACAATAAAATGAAATATACGGCATCCAGATTGGAAAGGAAAGTAAAACTATCTCTATGTGCAGATGACATGATCTTGTACAGAAAAAAATCCCAAGGAATCCACAAATAAATTATTTGAGCTAATAAGCTCAGCAAGGTTGCACAGTAAAGGACAATACAAAAATTAATTGCATTGTTATACAGTACCAACGAACAATCTGCTAATGAAATTAGGAAACATTGTATTTACAATAGCACCAAAAGGAATAAAATACTTAGATATAAATTAAAAGAAGTGCAAGACTTGTACAATGGAAGCTATCTATAAGCATTTCTGAAAGAAATTAAAGAAGATTTAAATAAATGAAAAGACATTCTGTATTCACGGATTGGAAGATCCAGTCTTGTGTGTCTTCCATTCCAACATGGCAGTATTTCCCAAATTGATCTACAGATTCAACAACAGTCCTTATCAGAATCCCAACTGACTTTGTAATAATTGACAAGGTAATTCAAAAATCCATATGGAATCACAGAGGACACGGAATAGCCAGAACAATCTTAAAAAAGAACAAAGTAGGAGGACCCACACTTTCTGATTGCAAAACTTAATACAAAGCAATGGTAATCAAGACGGTGTGGTACTGACTTAAGGATAGACGCATAGGTCAAAGGAATAGAATTGAGCGTCCAGAAAATAAACCCTCATGTTTATGCTCAAAGAGCCCAATTTAAAAATGGGCAAAGGATTTGAATAGACGGTTCATGAAAGAAGATATACAAATGCCCAATAAGCACATGCAAAGATGTTCAACACCATCAGCTATGAGGAGGCAAATCAAAACCATGAGATACGGGTTCACATCCACTACAATGGATGTTCAAAAAAAAGAAAGAAAGAAAGAAAGATGGACAATAACAAGTATTGGTGAGGTTACGGTGAAATTGAATCCTTCGACATTGCTGATGGTAATGTAAAATGGTGCACTCCTTGGGAAACAGTTTGGCAGTTTCTCAAAGTTAAACATAGTTACCATTTGACTAGCAGTTCCAATCTAGTTGTATACCAAAGAGAAATGAAACCTGCCTCCACAAACACTTGTACATAAAGGTTTATAACATGATTATTCATAATAGCCACAAGGTAGAAACAACACAACTGTCCATCAACTGATGAATGGATGAAGGAAGGCAGTCTGTCTGCACAATGGAATATTATTTGGCCGTAAAAAGAAATGAGGTAGTGATGTATGCTACAATGTGGAGGACCCTTGAAAACGCTTTGCTAAATGAAAAAAAAAAAAGCAAGCCACAAAAAGACTGTATATTGTACGGTTCCATTTATCCAAAATGTCCAGGATAGGCAAAGCATGCATGAACAGAACAGAAACCCAGTTCATGCATGGTTGCTTAGGGTTGGGTGGTCACTAGAAGGGAACTAGGGAATAAGCGCTAATGGGTACAGAGTTTGTTTTAGAAGGGGTAAAAAGGTTCTAAAATTAAATTGTGGCAATGATTGCACAGTCCTGTAAATATATTAAATATACTCAAAAATGCTGAGTTGCTGGGGCGCCTGGGTGGCTCTGTCAGTTATGCATCTGCCTTCGGCTCAGGTCGTGATCCCAGGGTCCTGGGATGGAGCCCCACGTCAGGCTCCTTGCTTGGTGGATAGTCTGCTTCTCCCTCTCC